CACCCCCCTCCACCCTGGTATAACTTCTGTTGCTCGCATGTGGGTGGCGGTGTAGCCTGGTCATTAGGAGAATGGGTTTTCGGGTCAGATCTAGGTTTCAACCCTGTTTCTCCTGTTTTCTACCCATGTGGCCTTGGTCAAATTGCTTATTTTCTCTAGTCTCAGTGTTTTCATCTATAAAGTGGGGATGATAATTGTGGCCCCTCTTACAGTTCTAAAGACAATGAAATCCCATAAATGAGCTCATGCCTTTAGGGATCTTACTACAATATTTAATACATATTAAGGACTTAATAACACTAGCTATTATTGTGTTTTTATTAAGAGTAAATAGATGTTTTAATGTTTTGCGATATATGAAATCCAGGATAGGTAAATCTATATAGAGACAGGGGAAGCTAATAATGATGTGTACAAGAATAAAGGAAATGTTCTAAAGCATATGTGGTGTTAATGTACAGCTCTTCTTGATGTGATTGACTTAATTGAGTTCTTTGATAAATGAATTCTATGCCAATAAAACTGTTGAAAAGCAACCACAGCCAAAAACTCATTAAAAAAATAAAGGGAGAGAAAAATAAATCCCTCAAACTGCAATCCCTTTAAGGATACGTTAATGTAGACTGCAGAAAAGTCTGAAGTATTCTTAAAAGGATTGCAGTTTGACTCTAGAACTCTCGGACTCTCAACCTCACCGCACTGTTTCTAGGTAAATTCTGAAGCTCTTGCTACGGCTCCTGGGGCCCAGATGAACGCCTTTTGTTTGTCTTCCCTGATTTCAGTTTCCTTCCCTAGGGAAGAACGACGACGACTCGTTCCCAGGGTGACAGATATGCCTGGTCAGGCAAGGACCAAAGCCAGGGACCCACAGGGAGACCCATACAATTCTCGTTTTGAAATGCAGATAAGTCTTTCAGCCTTGCAGTGTGCGTGTGCGTGCGAGTGCGATGCTGGGGTAGCTGAGGAGGAAGCGGGAATGGTTCTTCCACGAGGATTCCTCTTCCCTTTGGGTGGTTCCCGTGGACTGCTGGGAGCAGAGGAGGGAGAAGAAGTTCATTTTAGCTCCATTTCTGCCTCTGCTGCCTCCCATGCAAAACCCAGGCTACCTTTAAGGTGCCCTCTGGTTCCAGTGTGCCGAGGCAAAGGGAAATGCAGAGTCTGTGCCAACAGGGGGATACCTGGCACAGAGCAGGTGGTCAGTGAATGGCAACTGTCAGTATTATGCACACACGGCTGTATGCCACACACAACGGGCCCAGCGCCACCTGCCTGCCTCTCCCAGGGCAGCGATGGCTCAGGAGGGGCTGAGGAGAGGGTAAGGTGCGGGGCAAGCGTTGGTCGGGGCGCCATCTCTGCCCTCCCCACTTCACCAGCATGTGGAGCATATGGCGTCCAACCATTCCTCATTCGCTCTACAAAGGGTCAGCGAGAATGCTGCCAGCAGGCACCGCCGGCCCTGCCTTCTGGAGCTCAGGCTTAGGGTGAGGTGGAGTGAAACAATAAACAGTAGAGAGTTTTGTCTTCTAAATTATATTTATTTTGCCATTGAGATCATTCAAAGCTTACTTAGAGCCATCCGACAGTTTTGACATTACAACCACGTGGATGATGCTCTTGAAGATGTGGCACCTTCTGGGTGCTTCCTCCCTCAGGCACAGCCGCTCACCGCCCCCTGAGGGTCCCGGGTGCCCTTCTGAATCGCTGTTGTCCATTGGACCCATCTCGATCGTTCTTAAAAGGGCATCACGCTCAAGGCAGAGTTTTGTTTTTAAACCAGTTAAAGTACAACCGAAACTACTGCTTGGCTTTACAATGACTT